GGTCCGGGCTGGGGATTCGAACCCGCCACCTTAGGTGTATGTGGCTGGCGCCTTAGCCGGTTGAGCCACAGGCGCCGAGCCCTTTTTTTTTTTTTTCTCTTAAGACAGAGTTTTACTGTGTTGCCCTCAGTAGAGTGCCATAGTGTCACAGCTTACAGCAACCTCCAACTCTTGGGCTTAAGCGATTCTCTTGCCTCAGCCTCCTGCAGAGCTGGGACTGCAGATACCTGCCACAATGCCCAGCTATTTTGGGGGTTGTCAACTGCTATTTTGCAGTTGTCATTGTTGTTTAGCAGGCCTGGACTGGGTTCAAACCTGCCAGCCTCAGTGAATGTGCTTGGCACCCTACACTGAACTACGGGCACCAAGCCTATTGAAAAGTTCTTAATAATTTTGTACATAAATTAACAGCTTTTAAAATAGTAATTAAGTATGACAGCATATTGCTCTTGCAATAAAAAATACACATTTGTGGCAGCACCTGTGACTCAAAGGAGTAGTGCACCAGCCCCATATGCCGGAGGTGGCAGGTTCAAACCCAGCCCTGGCCAAAAACTGCAAAAAAAAAAAAAAACAACCACATTGGTACTTCAACCTATTGATAGAATTTCATCATTCAAGGGCATACAAAGAGATTTCCATTCCAAGTTACATCTAGAATGTGCAACTGTATTTGAAAATCACTTTCTAGACACTAACAATAATTCAGATAACATGTCTTGTTTGTGTAACTGACATTGTGGCACTAAACAACTATGATTTGTCCACACAAGCACATGATCATTAACCTTGACGACACAACCACATGACCTTGAACCCTGGACCAGAAACCAGAAATGATACTAAAATCGCCATTCAGCTGTTGGGCCTTCCAAAAAGCAAAGCTGAGGCAGAAATTGTAGTGCTTCCTTCATCTTGAAAAGTGTAAAATATGCAGACACTGGCTCAGCGACAGTAGCTCACTGGCTAGGGCACCATCCACGTACACCAGGGCTGGCGGGTTTGAACCCTCCCCAGGCCGGCCAAACAACAATGACAACTACAACAACAACAGAAAAAAAAAAAATAGCTGGGCATTGTGGCAGGTGCCTGTGATCCCAGCTATTTGGGAGGCTGAGGCAAGAGAATTGCTTAAGCCCAACAGTTGGAAGTTGCTGTGAGCTGTGATGCCATGGCACTCTACCCAGGATGACATAGTGAGACTGTCTCAAAAAAATAAATTAATTAAATTAAATTTAAAAATGAAATAAAATAATAAAATATGCAGATCTGATCTTCAATTCAGTAGAGACTAAAATAAAATAAAATATGCAGACACACCTGATTTTGTTTAGGGGTTGTGTGGATATGTATCACAATTACAAAGGTATATCTGAGAATAAACCTGAACCAAAGGCATGAATTTTGTTCTTTTAGGGGAAAAGTAGGATGCACCTGGGAAAAAATATATAAAAGAGCCAATTGCTTTTGTAATGTTTCGCTTTGTTTTGTTTTGTTTTAGAAATAGGGTTTTGTTCTGTCTCCCAAGCTAGAGCACAGTGGTGTGATCATAGCCCCATGCCAGGTTAAATCTCTGGGCTCAAGTGATCCTACACCTCAGCTGGTAGGATCAGGTATCACCACCACACCTGGCTACTTTTTTTTTTTTTTTTTCAGAGGCAGGGTCTTGTTATTTTGCCCAGACTCCTCTTGAACTTCTAGCCTTACACAGTCCCTCAGCCTCCCAAAGTGCTAGGGTTACAGGCATGAGCCACCCACATCTAGCTAATTCTTAAGCAAGATTTGGAACTTGACTGATTATTGTATTACTGTCTATTCTTTTTTCCATGCCTCAAAAATTTAATAACAAAAGAACAAGAAAAATAGCTGATAATAAAAAATTGATTTTTAAGAAGCCCATATAATTTAGAAGCCAGAAATATTACTTTCTTATTTATGAACTTTCTAAATTGGAAAAAGATTTAAGAATGGGGATTTATCTTTTCTTCAGAGATGAAATTATGAGGTTTTTATTTTTATTTTTTTTTATTTTTGAGACAGAGCCTCAAGCTGTCCCCTGGCATCACAGCTCACAGCAACCACCAACTCCTGGGCTCAAGCGAGTCTCCTGTCTCCGCCTCCCAAGTAGCTGGGACCACAGGCGCCCGCCACAGTGCACAGCTATTTTTTGGTTGCAGCCGTGATTGTTGTTTGGCGGGCCTGGGCTGGATTAAAATCTGCCCGCCACCTTGGGTGTATGTAAGCCACAGGCACCGAGCTGAAATTATGAGTTATTAAAGCATCCATTTAGTAACTTATTTAAATCTCAAAAACTGAGATAAAAACAAGAATAAAACTTACTATATAGTCAGTCTGTTTTGGGGGTGGGGGGTTGAGACAAAGCCTCAAGCTATCACCCTGGGTAGAGTGCCATGGCATCACAGCTCACAGCAACTCCAACTCCTGGGCTTAAGCAATTCTCTTGCCTCAGCCGCCTATGTAGCTGGGACTACAGGCGCCCGCCACAATGCCTGGCTATTTTTTGATTGTAGTTGTCATTGTTGTTTGGCAGGTCCGGGCTGGATTAAAATCTGCCAGCTCTGGTGTATGTGGCTGGTGCCTTAGCTGCTTTAGCTACAGGCGCCAAGCCATAGTCAGTCATTTTTAATGGCAAACTGGTACACAATGTCTCTCAGCTGTGGTGTCTCTCAGGTGTGATAGTAATTAAAAGCAAAGGAAAAAAATAAAAAACAAAGAAAAGAAAAGAAAAAGAAAAAGTATAGCTAAGAGGAAAAGAAACTTGTAAAAGGTTTTGGAGGAGTCAGAAAAAAAAGAAAAGAAACTTGGTAGTTTGATCATGATTGAAAGCAAATGAACAAGATTCAAATCTGCAATTTTCAGGAGGAAGATCTTTATTTTAGCAGTATATAACCCAATATCAAAAGCCAACTCACCACGATGCTCCCTCACTTCTGTTTGGGCACAGTTTTCTTTTTTTTTAGTGTTACCTGGTACAAATTTTCTGTTTTTCTTCACAGCGCCTCAAATTGCTGACCAGAAAGGCTTGGTCCTGGAACCCCTTGGTTATAGTCAGTCTGTGTTAAATAATAACCCCATTTCCTGTTTTCTCTCTTTTCTTACACAACAGCAGGTAGAAGAGGAGCAGGATGTGGCAGATGGAATTTTGCAACAGTAATGAAAGCAGTGACTCTGAGCCTTAGGCCTGTTTGCTCCGTTTCCATTTCAGAAGATTGTCTGGCGCTCACACACGCGCGCGCTCTCTCTCTCTCTCTCTTTCTTTTGGCTTTAAGCTGAGCAGCTTTTATTTTGGGATTGTTTAAACATTTCTTGATAACATTTTATTTCTTATAATGATTCAAGCAGTGATTTGTAATACAATCTAAGATTTTCCTGAATTTTACAACTCAGATGACTTGGTAACTCTTGCAATTAAAGAGATCTCAAAAAGAATGTCCTCTGGCATCTTCCCACAAGCCCTCATATGAGAAAAGCGCCTGAGGAGGGCTCATCATTTTGTCAGTTAGGGATTGATTGCAATGGTTGAGCACACGAGGGTTTCTTCTCACACATAAAGGAGATTCAGGGGTATGTAATCCAGATGACATGGAGGTTCCGTGGGCATCAGAGACCCAGGCTCTTTCTTTCTTCTCCACCATCCATATGGTAGACAATGATGCTAGAACTCCAGCCCCCACATTCATCCTGCAGGCGTGGAGAAAAGGGGAAAGACAAGGAAGTGCATTCGGCTGCGTGTCTCTCTTTTAAGAAGCCCAGAAGGCTGTCTCTTGCAAATAACGCTTAAAGCTGTGCAGAGACTAAAGAAGAAAAAAGGCCCCCAGTTGGCCACTTCAGGCCACGGGTCGTTTTTGGTTTTGTTTTTAATTAAAGCCTTGCTTCTAAGCAAGATCTTCAATTTGGTTTTAAGTCTTTGTTGAGTGCCGTGGAGTTCAAACTCTCGGGCTCAAGTGATCCTCTTGCCTCAGCCTCCCAAGTAGCTGGGACTACAGGCACCTTCCACAATGCCTGGCTAGTTTTCCTATTTTTGGTAGAGATGGGGTCTGGCTCTTGCTCAGGCTGGTCTAGAATTCCTGCGCTCAGGCAATCCACCTGCCTTGGCCTCCCAGAATGCTATGATTACAGGTGTGAGCCACTGAGCCTAGTTTTGAGCCTTACAACTTTATTTCTACTTTATAAAGTTCACCTACCTTAAAGAAAGGCTGAACTGCAAAAAACAGCCAAAATTTAGAAAATAGCATGAGTATTTAACACAAAATGAGGTGTTTGGAAATTCTGCTTTCAGTCTGGGTCTGAGGCTTATTCCTATAATCTCAGCACGTTGCAAGGCAGGAGGTGCAAGAATTGTGTGAGACCAGGAGTTCAAGGTCAGCTTGGGAAACATAGCAAGACCCATCTCTATAAAAAGTTTTAAAAGTGCGGTGCCTGTGGCTCAAAAGGGTAAGGTGCCGGCCCCATATGCTGAAGGTGGGGGGTTCAAACCCAGCCCTGGCCCAAAAAAAAGTTTTAAAATTAGTTGTGTGTGGTGGTTTCTCAGCTTCTTGGGAGGCTAAAGCAGGAGGATCACTTGCTGTGATCACACCACTGCAATCCAGCCTGGGTGACGGTGAGACCCCAGCTCAAGAAAAAAAAGAAATGCTGCTTTCCCTGAAGGCTCTATGGAATCAATTCCTTCACAATTCTACTATAGCAAATGACTTGCCTTTGATGACATATTTAAATTTGTCACAGCAACCCAATGAAAGCAATAAAATCTTAGATTGTATTCTGTTATTTGTCACAGCTCACAGCAACCTCCAACTCCTGGGCTCAAGCGAGTCTCCTGCCTCAGCCTCCCAAGTAGCTGGGACTACAGGCGTCCGCCACGATGCCCAGCTATTTTTTGGTTACAGCCGTCATTGTTGTTTGGCAGGCCTGGGCTGGATTCGAACCCACCACCTTAGGTGTATGTGGCTGGCGCCTTAGCTGCTTGAGCTACAGGCGCCGAGCCTTATTTATTTATTTATTTTCTTTTTTATTTTCTTTTATTATTTTTTTTTAGAGACAGAGTCTCACTTTCTTGCCCTCAGTAGAGTGCTATGGCATCACAGCTCACAGCAACCTCCAGCTCCTGGGCTTAGGCAATTCTCCTGCCTCAGCCTCCTGAGCAGCTGGGACTACAGGTGCCCGCCACAACACTCAGCTATTTTTTTGCTGCAGTTTGGCCAGGGCTGGGTTTGAACCCGCCACCCTTGGTATATGGGCCCGACACCCTACTCACTGAGCCACAGGTGCCACCTTTCATTTTTATTTTTTATTTGTCTAGAGGTGGGGTCTCGATCTTGCTCAGGCTGGTCTCCAACCTGTGAACTCAAGCAATTCACCTGCCTTAGCCTCCCAGAATGCCAGTCACCTTCAGTTGCCCCCCAGCCCCAGTAGAGTGTTATGGTACCATAGCTCACAGTAACCTCAAACTCTTGGGCTCAAGAGTACATCCCGAGTATCTGGGACTACAGGTACCTGCTACAACACTGGGCTATTTTTAGAGATGGAGTCTTACTGTTGCTCAGGCTGGTCTCAAACTCCTGAGCTCAGGCAATCCACCTGCCTCAGCCTCCCAGAGTGCTAGGATTACAGCTATGAGCCACCACAGCTGACTCTAATGTGTCCCTTTACAGATAAAAAGGGATAGGTACAAGTAGCAGAATCCTTTTGCCCCATTTGTTGCTCTTCTTCCTTCTTTCTGGAAAGCAGCCATTGAGGGCTGCAGGTAGTTGGCGACATGAGGTAACAAGCATGAGGAGAAAAGCTAAAATACTAAGAAAGGTGGCATCGAAAGACTAAAAGAGCCTGGTCCCTATGCTGGATTGCTCATCTCTGGGCTTCTCATTATGTAAGAAAAATGGAAGTCTTTCTTGCTACCATACTGTTACTTGCTTTTGAAACAGGTATCCTGGGGCCAGGCACATGGCTCATGCCTGTAATCCTAGCACTCTGGGAGGCCAAGGCAGGAGGATTGCTTGATCTCAGGAGTTCAAAACCAGCCTGACCGAGAGGGATACCTTGTCTCTAAAAATAAATGGATACTGTGGTGGGCACCTGTAGTCCTAGCTACTTGGAAGCCTGCAGCAAGAAGATCTCTTGACACCAAGAGTTTGAGGTTGCTATGATACTGTGACACTCTACCAAAGGTGACAAAGTGAGACTTAGCCTCACTTTGTCTAAAAAAAAAAAAAAAAAACGACTGGGCCTGGTGGCTCACGCCTATAATCCTATCACTCTGGTAGGCCAAGGAGCTCACAGGTTGGAGACCAACCTGAGCAAGATCTAGACCCCACCACTAAAATTAGCCGGGTGTTGTGCTGGGCTCCTATAGTCCCAGCTACTCAGGAGGCTGTGGCAAGAAAATCTCTCTCTCTCTCTTTTTCTTTTTTCCCCCAAGATCTCTTAACACCAAGAGTTTGAGGTTGCTATGATACTATGACACTCTACCAAGGTGACAAAGTGAGACCTATCCTCACTTTGTCTAAAAAAAAAAATGGGCTGGGCGCCTGTGGCTCAAGTGGCTAAGGCGCCAGCCACATACACCTAAGGTGGCGGGTTCAAATCTAGCCCAGGCCTGCCAAAACAACAATGCCAGCTACAACCCAAAAAATAGCCGGGCATTGTGGCCGGCGCCTGTGGTCCCAGCTACTTGGAAGGCTGAGGCAGGAGACTCGCTTGAGCCCAGGAGTTGGAGGTTGCTGTGAGCTGTGATGCCACGGCACTCTACCCAGGGGGATAGCTTAAAGCTCT